CTGGGGGTGACTCATATGCAGAGATCTTGTCTTATTTATTCAGTGACTATTCCAGCTCCTGTGCTGAAACCATAGACCAAAACATCAAGTGTAGGTAATAGGCCCCCAAGTAAGACTTGAGATAAATCCTGACTCTTATATTCACAAGCTGATTTCCTTGTGAAAGTTATTTAGCTTCACTAGGCCTGTTTCTTCATCCCCAAAATGGCCAAGACAAGATGGTTGTATTTGGGGATCATGTGATAGGCTTATAAAATGTCAGCATATCCAAACCTAGGTATACTGTTAAAAAAAAAAAAGCAAAATAAATAAAGCATCAGCATAGTGACCATGTGGTTGGTGTTTAGTCAGTGGTAGAAGCTGCCGCTGTGGAAGAGCAAGTCGTGGGGAGGCAGAGGACGTCCTAAGACAGTGGGCACTCAGAGGATTGCAGGGCGGAAAGGAAGAACCTGGGGCACACGTAACTGGGGAGGGATTGTGAAGGATGAGTGCTCGGGTACGGAGGTTTGAAAGGACATGACACTTCCAGGATGAATGAGAGGTTCACTGTGGTCAGAGCAAAAGGAATGAGCAGGTGATGGAGGGAGATTGAGGCGATGGACAGGTCAGCAGGGATCTGATGCTAAAAAGCCTTATATATAGTTTATACCAAAGGCCTGGAGTTTTTATTCTGAGGGCAGCAGAGACATTCAGAGGGAGTTAAGCAGAGAGGTAACATGGTCACATCAGAACTTTAGATATATCCCTGTGGCCACCGTATGGCCACCTGGCTTTGGGGGCTTGAGGACAACAAAGGTAGAGGCAGTTGGGAAACTGTTGGAAAGAGTTCGAGAGAGATGTTGGTGCCTAGACCAAGGTGTGTCCATGGCCATGGATTGGAATGAGGGCATGAGATGCGAGAACTGTTTAAGAATCCTTTAGGGAGTAGAATTGGGAGGATTTGGTGACAAGCAGGGTAACAGAATAAAGTCACTCAGGTTTCTGGTTTGTGCATCAGGACCATAATGCCATTCATCTGACACGGGGGATAGGGACGAGTTTGGGGTAGGAAGAGGATGGCTTCCAGCTGAAGGTTTCCCCAGGGGACAGGGTCAGGAGGCGGGGTACAGGCCATGGACAGAGGCATGGCATCTGCACAGGTATCTGCAATGCAGATGGTAGAGTCCCAGGAATGATTTGCTAAAGTGGTTTGGTCATTGTTGAACTGACAAAGTCCTCCCTGTGTTGTTGCAGCAAGGACCAGGCTGGCTTGAGCTCTCTGAGATGACCGAGCAGCCGGACTACGACCTAGAGACATTTGTGAACAAAGCGGAATCTGCCCTGGCCAGGCAGGCCAAGCACTTCTCAGCCCTGCGAGGTGAGTGTGGCTGGACAGGGTGCAGGTGGATGATGGTGGCCTCTGCTGGCTCCTGGGTGACTGCAGGTGATAGCAGCTCTGCCCTGAGTGAATGGGAGCCTCTCAGATCCCCACTTACCCCATGTGCACCACCAATCCTTCCTTCCAGATGTCATCAAGGCCTTGCGCCTGGCCATGCAGCTGGAAGAGCAGGCTAGCAAGCAAATAAGCAGCAAGAAACGGCCTCAGTGACGACTGCAAATAAAGATCTGTTTGGTTTCACCAGCCTCTTCCCGTCCCTCCCCTGCAAACTTTGGGCACCCGGTGGGTCTAGTCAGAGTCTGAGCTGGGAAAGGCTTTGGTAAATGCCACATTATGGGAGCATCAGGATCCAGGGCAGCTGGGGAGGGGGTCAAAGTGACATGGGACACTACTTTCCTTTTCCTCAGTTGTCGCCCTCAAGGGAGCAAGGAAGAAGGAGCTTTTAGTTAGCCATCTGTGTCGCCCTTCCTTCCATCAAGAGGGGAGTGCTCTCTGGTGTACAGTTTCCCCTTGGGCAGCATCCCGCCTATGTGGACTGGCTGCTGGTGGAGGGCTCTCTGCAGTGGTTCTGGCTCTAGGGAGAGAGAAGGAGCCTTTAGTCTGGCTCTCAGTTGGCTCTGGCCCACCTTCCACCCCTTTGGTCTGAGCACTGCTATGTCCTGTACTTCAAAAAAATGTTTCTTGGGACCTCTTCCTTCCTTGCTGTTTCTTGAGGCCCAAGAGGATCCCTATACTGTCTTCTGTTTTATGTGTTTATACATTGTGTGTAACAATAAAGAAAGGAAAAAATATCAGCCTTTTGAGTGGTGTGTGGGAAGGGCCTGGGATGTGTTTGAGCCTTCTGGGACTAAGAACACTACTGCAGCTTTGGCCCTTGGGTAGTGCCAATTCCATAGCCATGCCTGCTCTTCCAGTGACACGCTGAACACTCCAACCTGTGACTTGTTCAATGTTTATTAGATGCTTACTAGACTCTAGGCCTGCTCATGGGAATAGGAACTATAAGTAGAAAGATGGCACTCTGTCTATGACAGTCTACTCAAGGCCCATTAAAAGATTCTGTGGGGCTGGGAGTGGTGGTTCACACCAGTAATCCCAGCACTTTGGAAGGCCAAGACAGGAGGATGGCTTGAGCCCAGGAGTTCAAGACCAGCCTGGGCAACATAGCAAGACCCCATCTCTACTAAAAATTTAAAAATTAGCTGGGCACAGCGGCTCACACTTGTAGTCCCAGCTACTTAGGAAGATTACTTGAGCCCAGGAATTTGAGGCTACAGTGAGCTATGTCTGCACCACTACAATCCAGCCTGGGTGACAGAGCAAGACCCTGTCTCAAAAAAAAAAAAAAAGATTCTGTGGGAATGGTGACAAGAAAGCATTTGACTTGCTGGATAGGAAAGGATCTGAAGGGCAACACCAGTTTGGTCTTGCAAAAAGGTCTGCCAGGTGAACTGAGGGACCAAGCATAGGGAATGGGCAGTTTAGGAACTGGAAGACTCTAGGTTCCGTGTCATGGGACATGAATTATCTGAGTGGCAATGAAATGCCACTAAAAGGTTGTAAGCCTAGGAACCAAGTAGCCAAATAAGTGTTTAGGAAGGCCTCAGTCAGGGCCTGGGTGGGAAGCACAGAGCATTTAGGCTACTGCGGAAACCAGAGTATGGTGGGCTCAGGAGGACAAGGTTCTGGCCTCAACCTCATTCAGGTTCTTCATTTTCAAAATAGCATTCTCTACCTCATGGTGAGAGAATTACATGAGTTTGAGGTGCCATTCAATAACCATTAAATTCTGAATCATAAATTTAACAGAAATGGCACTACCTCTGTGGCCTTGAAAAAACAGATACCTGAACTTTATCCTTCATCTATAAAATGAGGCCACCAATACTCACGTAACAGAATTATGAGGATTAAATGAAAGAATACCACCATCCTGGACCTAATCACCCAAAATACGAGAATCCCTAACTAGTCTCCCTGCTTGCATTCTTGATTCCCAGTGACCTATTCTCTTCAACCAGCCAAAGGAATCTTAAGTTAACCTTCCTGGAACCTTTTCATATCTCCCCTTGCACAAAAGATAAATTCTCAATGCCTTACTGCAAACTATTAGGCCCTGCCTGGAGCTCCATTGCTCCAGCTGGAATACAGAACAGTTTGGAGGTTACCAGACCAGCTTCTGAAGCCAGGGTGGGATCCTGGCTCTGTGACTGCAGAACCCTTAGTGGGTTACATAACCTTTCTGTGCTGTTTGAGAAATGGGGATAATATTGGTATATGGAGTTGTAATGAAAATTGAGATAAATACAGTGAGTACAATACCTCACATTTAATAACTCCTCCATAAATGCTAGATAATTTAAGCACATAAGGATAAAGATTTTTGTTTTATTCAATAGTGTATCCACAGTGTCTAGAACATATGTTAAGCCCAATATACTTTTTCTTTTTTTTTTTGAGACAGGGTCTCACTCTGTTGCCCGGGCTAGAGTGCCGTGGCATCAGCCTAGCACACAGCAACCTCAAACTCCTGAGCTTAAGCGATCCTTCTGCCTCAGCCTCCCGAGTAGCTGGGACTACAGGCATGCACCACCATGCCCAGCTAATTTTTTATATATGTATTTTTTAGGTGTCCAGCTAATGTCTTTCTTTTTTCTTAGTAGAGACGGGTCTCGCTCTTGCTCAGGCTGGTCTGGAACTCCTGAGCTCAAACAATCCGCCCACCTCAGCCTCCCAGAGTGCTAGGATTACAGGTGTGAGCCACCACGCCCACATGGCTGCTTTCTGATGAGATAGGAGAGTTGAGTAGTTGTGACAGAGACCCTATAGACCACAAAACCTAAAGCATTTACCTACTTTTAACTCTGTAAGAAAACTTTGTAGGCTGGGCACAGTGGCTCAAGCCTGTAATCCTACCTAGCACCCTGCAAGGCCAAGGCGGGAGGACTGCTTGAGGTCAGGAGTTCAAAACCAGCCTGAGCAAGAGCCAGACCCCCTCTCTAAAAAGAAAAAAAAATTAATATATTAAAAAAAAAAAACTAACAAGTTTGTAGACTTCTCCTTTATGCTCTCTTCCTAGGTTCAATTCATTCTGGTGCCTTTTAACGATTTAAATACTAACGATCACCAAAGTAACATCTGTCCAGATCCCTTCCACAAGAATGACCAGACATGAATATGCAGCTGCCTACCTGTCATCCCCATTTACATGATTCACCAGATCTGAAAATAAACATGTCCATGGCAGCTCCTACCTTAGCCCACCCTATCTCAGTAAATGGCCCCAATACTCATCTAAGTGATCAAGTGAGAAATTTAGGAATCCCTGACACCTCCCTTTCCCTCAACTCCCATGTCCAATTTATCACCAACCCTTCAAAACAAAACCCAAGTCCACCACCCTTTCCCAACGCACCCGCACGCACATCCCTCATCCTGGACTACTGCAGTACCCTCTGAAACGAGTCTCACAACGTAAATAAAACTATTCTGCTCACCTCGGCTGTGCCCTAAATCCCTTCGATTCTGCCAAAAGCGCTCACATCTAGCCACGCCCGGGGACCGTACTCCCCCTCAGCCCAAGGTCGGCAGCGCCAGGCGGCGGGCGGCAGCCAGCAAGACCCTCCCGAGCCCCGAGGGCCTCAGCGCGACAGCAGAAACGTAAGTCACTTCGCCCTCCGTGGTTACGGCACTTAGAAACAACGTCAAGGGGCGGGACTGCGTTTTACAAACCGGACCGTGAAGCTTTGCGTTTTCTCTTTCCAGCCAGCGCCGAGCGATGGGTGAGTGTCGCTCAGCATTGGGGCCACGGCAGTGGGCTGGGGTTGAGCTTAATCCAGTTCCATCCTGCCTGGCAGCCAAGTTAGGAGTACAGGGACCCCGACTCCCGGCTGGGAACAACCACGAGGAGGGCTGGCCCTCAGGTTTTGGCCGCCGAGGCTGTTCCCGGGGGCTGCAAAGGCGTCCGTGTCCGAGCCGCGGGCTGTAGGCTGCGAGCGGCACCAACATGGCTGCCGGGGGCCAGAGGCCGGCTGGGCCGCGCGCACGTGATGACACCTCGGAAATGCTGCAGACTGCCGAGTGCGCAGTGGGGAAGCCAACCTTGGAGAGCTGAGCGTGCGGCCCGCCCGGCGCGGGGGTCTGGGGCTGGCGAGGCGCCAGCACCGAGTCCCCGCACCTCAGACTCCCGTCCCCGCTCCCACTTGCAGGCATCTCTCGGGACAACTGGCACAAGCGCCGCAAGACCGGCGGCAAGAGAAAGCCCTACCACAAGAAGCGGAAGTATGAGCTGGGGCGCCCCGCTGCCAACACAAAGGTGGGTGCGTGTGTGCGACCGACCGGCCCGTAAGTCTTCCTTTGCTCTCCAGCGTAGTCGGGTCTCCGTGTGGTTTCCGCCTCGGGCTGCGATTTCTTTATAGTGGGAGCTGGGCGGCTGCCTACCTGGAGATAGCATGCTCTCTGCACCCTGCCCCCCGCCCCCGCTTAGGGGCTAATGGAGACAGATAATCGAGTAGAGGGACTTGGAGGGCACCTGGAGAGGCGAGCTCCTCTCGTGATAGTCAGAAACCTGGGAATTTTGTTTCACAGAGACTTAATTTTCAGTGTTTGGGGTCAGCGCTTTCCTCTTTGAGGTAACTGGAGTGATGAAAAAATTATCCTTAGGCATGGCTGTGTCCGTCTTGGTCACGTGTGTGCCACTTGCCAATGCAAGGACATGTCATAGTTACACTGACTGTTGCCTCCATCCAGCCCAGGTTCCCCTCCCTCTCTTACCTTGCTCTCCTTGGTAACCTGGTTCCTGTCTCCTTGTGTTTTCCAGATTGGCCCCCGCCGCATACACACAGTCCGTGTGCGGGGAGGTAACAAGAAATACCGTGCCCTGAGGCTGGACGTGGGGAACTTCTCCTGGGGCTCAGAGTGTGAGTGAGCCCCTTGAGCAGTGGGTGGGAAGGCACCTAAACCTTCCTAAGCTTCAGTAAGTGCTTTTAGCAGGAAGTCTATGGCCTTGACCAAGGTACTTGAAATTTCTTGCTGAAAAACCTTGAGGTACCTGGAGTTCTCTCTACCCAGACTGTCCTGCCCTGTTCTCTTAGCTCTGCAGCCTGAGGGGTTGGGGCTGATTCTAGAGGGTGTGTGGTAGCCAAACACTTCTAAAAAGATGAGAGTGTGGAAGACCAGCTGATGTTCTATAGCTGGGTAAAGGCTCAGAGTGTTTCTCCTTAAGGCCCTGCTAGGGGAGAATTGCCTGGGGAGGTGCAGCAAGATCGGGTGGCCTCTGGTTTATGTGACTTGATTCTGGATTTCCCCTGTGAGCAGGTTGTACTCGGAAAACAAGGATCATTGATGTTGTCTACAATGCGTCCAATAACGAGCTGGTCCGCACCAAGACCTTGGTGAAGAACTGCATCGTGCTTATTGACAGCACGCCGTACCGACAGTGGTACGAGTCCCACTATGCACTGCCCCTGGGCCGCAAGAAAGGGGCCAAGCTGGTGCGTGGTACTTCCCTATGGGGGGTGGATTGGGCAGCCTGAGTCCAGCCTTCTTATGATGAAAACTCAGTCCAGTTCTGCTACTGAAGGGAGAGAGATGAAAGCTTTTAATGCTGAGGAAGGCCAGTGTTGGGCTGTGGGGTTCAAGAATGACCTTCCCTGTGCTAATCCAACTATTTATTTCCCCTTTATTCAGACTCCTGAGGAAGAAGAAATCCAAAAAAATTCAGAAGAAATACGACGAAAGGAAAAAGAATGCCAAAATCAGCGGTCTTCTGGAGGAGCAGTTTCAGCAGGGCAAGCTTCTCGGTGAGAAGGCTGTTGTGTTAGGGGAGGTGGGGGTCAAAGATCGCGTGCCCTCTGCGTTTTTGCCTTGCCTCAGTTCATTGGACTGCCAGCCATGTGGTCTAGACGGTTCACCCAGAGAGTTTAACAACAGCAAAGTATAAGCACAAATGGGAACATCTGGTTACCCTACTAGTGTGAAGCTGAAATGGGAAGGGAATATTGGGTAGAAAAAGTCCATAGATACACACATGGAGCTTGGAGTTTTAAAAGTATTTTGGGACGTCCATGCCCATGCTGTGGAGCTGTCTCAGTGATGAAAACTTTGTCCAGTTCTGCTACTGACTTTAAGTGACGATAAAGTGTGTCTGAGGAGACAGCAGTGGGCTTCGTGCTTGCCCCCAGGTGTACCTGAGCCAACATAGACTCATAAGGGGATAGATAGGTTTGGATGGGGTCACTTTGTCATTTCACTAAGGACCATGTGTTCTCTTACAGCATGCATTGCGTCCCGACCGGGCCAGTGTGGCCGAGCAGATGGCTATGTGCTAGAGGGCAAGGAGCTGGAGTTCTACCTGAGGAAAATCAAGGC